TGATGCTCCCACCCAAAATCAATTTTGAAGGCTTCCTTAGCAGGAAGCCAGCACTCATACATTTAGCTGTAGTTTCGAGGGGAGATGTAGACCCAAACGGGGAGGGAGGTAGAGAAAGAGGAATGGTCATAAAAAGTAGGATTTACTGACCAACAGACAAACTACTGTAACTCATTGAGGAGGAGGAAAAATGCACTTTCAATAGTTTGTCTGTATTTTTAGTTACAAAGTACACTTGTATCTAACTTTTTTTTGAGACAACTATTAAGAGGAACACCCATGCCATAAATGGCTAATCCTCCTTTTGACCTCCTCGTGTCTTTTCCACATTGGCTTAAATCCATTTTCAGCTGCCATACTTAATTTTGAAAACTGCTACTTTTAACAATGTTTAGACAGAAAAAAAACATTAACTCTGACACTTTTTTAAACAGGGTGGACTTAATTGAAGTGTGCAGTGTTGAACTACTGCTGCAGTAGCTGCCTCTACTAGTAGTTGAAATAAACTGTAGACAAGTTTTCTGTCCATTAATCCAGATAATCTGGATTCAGCAAAACGTCTGTGAGAGTGTTCCATCTGGTATGAATGTGTGTGTGCATGTGTTCCATGGTCAGACAGAGAACCAAACATTCTAGGTACTTGTCATGTTTTATTGCATACTTTAAGTCGTGTGTATGTGAAGTGTCCTTTGACCAGAAGGTTTTGGTTAATATCAGTATATTTTTATAAATTTGAAATTCATTGTGCCCCATCTTTTTTCTTAAACATTTTTCATTATTAGGGTATATGTGCTAGATTTGGATCTTTAACATTTTTAGGCACAGATGGAAAAAGTTATTGGCTCCTTGAAAACTTATGGGACAAAATGGATCCTCAAAGCATGTATGTACTTACAAACCAAGCTGTAGAGATCAAGAAAAGAACTTTATTGTTGATCTCAAGATTTCTAAATTGTCAAGATTTATATGGAGTTGTGGTGGAACTAGTTAACACTTAGAGCTTTTGGTATGTAATGACTATTTGCTATGGACTGATATTAAATGTTTCAAAGGATTGCGTTCTTAAACTTTCTGGATTTTTGTTACTCTCCTCGGATTATATTAAGTAGTTAAAAATTTCTTTGCTATATTACATTAAAAACATAAGAACTTTGGGTCTCGTATTTATTTTCACTTGTTTTACTAATTATTTACAGAACACCGTTTTAACTTTTTTATTTTATAAATGTGTAGTATTTTAAACATATCTTTAAAAATTGTTCAATTGGAACTACATTAACTTCTGATTTGTTTTTATTAGGATTTTTAAAAAAAAAATACACTTTTTCCATGTTGGTGCACAGCACTTAACAGAAATGTTTGTATTCCCTTTCTTTCAATTCAATAAACAGAATAAATAACTGGAATTAATAGTTCTTAGTTTTCCTAACTTCACTTTATATGACTGACTTGGATGTTAATTTCTTGATCATTAATTATAGATTTCTTCCATATTTGTAGTATTTCACTTCCTCACTAGGAAAATTAATTTGTGGCAGTTTATCTGAAGATTAATTCACTCAGTGTTGTGTGTAGGCTTTCCCATTGTTGATGATTGGCTCTAATCTACCTCACACTTGTGCGTTCACTGTAATTTAGCAGTTGACTTGGCCTGTGTCCCATTCTGTGCTTATCTGACCTGTTAAGGCTCCGTGAAAACTTTTGACTCCGTAATGCTGGAGCTTGCTTAAATACCAGACACGGGCTGCTTTAGGTGATCAGTGGGTTTTGTGGGGTTTTCTGATCTTTCATATTAAGGAGATGCTCCTAAAGTACTTGTGTCTCTTACTTAGACTTCTCTTAAACTGGGAACTGGGAGCCTCCAAACTTCTATATGAAGTTGTCTGAAGTGGCTTCTGTGGCTAACAGCTCTTGAAGATGCTTCTCAATTGTTGCCTTTGTTTCCTCTGACTGACCCTGCGGTTCTTGTCCCTCTTTCCTGTGCCTTAAAACAGAACCTCATCTTTGTTTGGCATTTTAGGCATTTTTGTTCAGCTCTAGCTAATGTTCTGTTAAACTGTACCTAAATTTGCCCTCCCCTTCCTGTAGCTTTTACAAACTCAAACCTTTTGTTGAAGTGCATACAGTTTTTGAATGCTTTGAGCTTCTATACTGATTAGAAAAGGTCTTTACTCCCTCTAGTAGCACCTTTGTATTAATCTTATTCCCTCCCTTACAGTTTAAGCAGTGTATAGATAATTATGGCTTAAATGCAGCTGCAGCCAGAAGGGGCATGCCTTATTCCATTCCACGTGCTGCTTTGTGACGCTTCCCTTGGGTATTAGTATTTGCAGCAGGGTTGTCAGATTGCAGACCCGCTTCAGCCATAAATGCTTCACACAGCAGATGAAGGAAGTTAGTGTTTTGGCTTGGGTTTGTTACTGTGCCTCATCTGCTGTCCTATGTCTGCCTTTAACTGGTGAGAAGAATGCAAGAGAAATGGGTATGTGATTTCTATAGAACTGAAATTTCAGCAAATGTCAAATTTAAAATATTAATTTTTTTTTAAATGCTTCAGGTTATTTAAAAGAAATTACATAAGTATAGTACCTGATAGTAGATAATCGTTTCATAATTAGCTTAAATCCAAACTCTGCCTGAGGTAGGGTACTTCTCCTGAGGGACAGTTTCTGCTTTACTCTGTCACTTCACCCCTTGGCCTATGCTTTCTGTGCTGCCTGATGCATCCTTCTGCTATTTGATGCGTGTTGCACATGCTCAGGCTATCAGCTCATTACAGAAAGATGGCAGTCACAGTTGCCTCCCCACTTTAAAAGAATATAATGTTCTGAACAGTAACTACTGAAGTTTATATGCCTCTAACATTTCTGCGATGATTAAGGTGGTTAATCCATGGTGGTCCATATTTTCCTGTTGCTACCTCCAGTGTAATCATTACCATATCCTTAGAGGCAGAAATGGTCTTTTCCTAGCACTTGTACAAAATCCTAGAGAGCTTCCCGTGAGAGAAAGAATCAAAGAAAGCTATGCCACTACTGAAGAGATAAAAATTTGCTTTTATGGGTTTATCAGGGACTCAGGGTGACTGTTAACCTGCATGTAGAACTGTTCTTATTGCTTGTCACACTATTAATGCCACTGATTTACTATGTTCCGTAATATAGAACTGTTACAGAAAAAAATTGTAATTTACTAGGATGAAGAGATAAGTATATTCTTTAATAAAACAGGCTAAATAACCAACAGTCTGGAACTGTAATGATTAATTAGGGGGAAACATGCTATCATATATATTTTAACAAATCCCCCTAAGTGCAGTACTATAGTAGCTGTCTCATTTGTCTGAAAACTGTTGAACAACTATCTTAGCAAACTGACTAGGCTGTGTGTGAGGAAAAGAGCTTAATAACCTTGGTTAAAAGAATCCCTGTAGGCAAACTTCAGATTTATTTTCATGGATTAAGAGCTTTCTATAAATCACAGCTAATCATTTGAAGGATAAGCTAATGGTCCCCTCATTAAGTTATATGTGGACACCTCAGTTCTAAAGGGAAATATATTTTGGTGAGTGAATACAAGGGAATCTGATCTCACACTGATTCATAGTGATAGGTGAATTTTTATTTAAAAATGGTCTAAAGTTTGTAATTGTTTTGAATTTTTTCACATACAAATAAGAAAACTTAATTGCCTACTATCTAAGCTGCAACAAATGTTACTGATTTTCCTCTCTCTTAAACTTTTATTTACTCTCCTTCTTCCAGATGTACAATGCTGTTTCAGCTTTGAGGCACTACTTTGTAGTTTGATTTTTGTGGTGTCAGGTAGTCAGTGGCATGCAGTTGCAGTAGCAATTTCCTTAGTTATTTCTTAATGAGCATAACTTTCAGCAATTTTTCATCTTTGCAACAGCTGAACTTGGACTCCATGATAAATGTAAAGCCAAACTTTTCCTATAACAAACACTGAACACAAGGTAACTAGAGAAATCAAGCTTCAGTGTTGTCTTTTCAGTGCTGGCTGGCCATGAAAACAATCTGCTAACTACAACTATACACCACAGAACAAGTACTTCAGAAAGAAAAGCTCATAAACTTTAGGGCTTGATTACAGAAATGTATTTTTGTGAAGTGTTTCACTTGATGTATTTGTTTCAAAAAAAACTGTTTCTATGCATATATAAAAGACAGTGAGGGTACAAATTCAGGTTTTATACTTATCACTGATGCAAGAGCTACACAAAAAGAACTTAGTTTGCTGGTGTCTTTGAAGCGGAGACATGTCAGAATTGGGATAACTGGGTTACAGTTTACCAGACCCCCTCCCCAAGCTAGACACTCTTGATTCACCTCCCTGGGCTGGAAACAGCAGGTTCATGAAGCAGCAACTGCAGATAGTATTTTCCTTTGTAATGAAGTCCAACCCTGGTTCAATATGATGTTTATGTTGTATGGAGGTATATGATGTATTTCAGTGATGAAACAGGAGTTGAAGGGAAAAATCAAGTATTAATCATGTTTCTTTATCTGTTTTTCACTCTTAGACACAAGTGTCACTTTCACTGCAGGGACCTTCATCCATCCAAACACAAGACTTTGTAGAGATTGTTGGAGGGAGAGGGGAAAAGGGAGGAAAGCATAACTTTTATTACATTGCTTTTTAGCTAGAAAAAACACTTGACACAAAGATACAAGCTGTGCTAGTGTTCTACTTTTTGAAAACTGTGTTCCTAGCACTGCTTCAAACTAGGCTCTAATAGGACAGCTTGACAGCCAGAGGCACATCCTGACACCTTTCACTAAGAAGCAGACATCAGAGCTGCGCTTGAATTTGTTCTGGAAATACCCCTGTTACCAGCCCATGCTGCTGAAATGAGTTTCCCTTCTCACCATTTAATTCCTGTGAGATCAGTTCTGTAAGCAAGGATTTCATCTTACAGAAGCAGCAGCTCCAGCAGTTTGGGTTGTAAAGGAACAAAAACAACTGCTACACAAATCCAATGTCTTTTGAAAATATTTTATGTTAAAAATACAGAAAAATATTTCTTGTTCAAAGAGGAAAAATATACTGCATGACGACACTGATCTAGGTATGTTCGGAAGGTGTCTGTGGCTCCACCAGTCACTGGAGTGATGACCCAATTTGGCAGCTAATGGTTCTTTTTCAACTTCTCAATCATTTATCAAAGCCAGAATCATACTGTGACAAAACAGAAAACATGATACCAGTGGATTACTGAAGCATGTGCAAGCAGGAACAGCTATCACTTTCATGAGAATGGCACTTGATTCTGAAACAGAACATCAAGGCAACTATGCTGTGTTCCTTGCTTATGAAGACAGGGCCTACAGAAGTAATACTGCAGTAGAACAGAACTTCTTCCATCTCATAGTATGTGGCCCCATCACAGAACTCATCTGCTTGTAACTGAGCGAGATCAAGGTTATTTGCTAAAACTGAACTTGTAAAATAAACTTGATCCTCAAGCTGATTTCCATTCTAAATAGGCCACTTACTCTAGGTGCTGAAATCATGTGACTCTATATTGTATTTATAGTGGGCTTGAGATTAAGAAGTAGTCTGAGTTGCCAAACAATCTCTGATCAGAAAGAATGAAGGCATATAATGAGCCTGGAGATAGCTGTCAAAATATATTATTGAGGCTTAGCAGGATGCAAAAAAGATAAGACACTTAACAAATACCAGCAATTACTGTAGCAGAATAGAGGAGATAAAAATAGCTGGCAGACAATTCCTTTGTTCCTTGGGAGCAATTTTTGAAACTAACCTGTAAAGGTACATGAAGAAACAGAGCAGATGAAAGCCAAGTTTAATCATGGCTTCCTTCATGTGTGATTTAAGTTGTCCTCGGTTATGGATCTCTGTGGGATCAAATACCCCCATGTTTCCACTTGGCACCATAATGTACCTAAAAATTTAAGAGAAAGACAACAGAAGTACAGTCATCAAGACATAAGGGAGTATCAGGGGAAGGGGAGGAGAGCTTGCACAGAAGGGACTTCCATCTAAAGAGTTGTTTCACAGTCCAACAGAAGGGAGATCATCTTTAATTCTATTTCAGTTTCAGGATATGGTGTGTACCTCTGCCACTACAACCCACAGAGAATAAGAGGACAAGCAGTACAAAAAGCATCAGCCCAGCTTCTCATGTATAAATGGAAGTTTCCAGGTAATAGCTGATTCCAGTTCATTTTAATTGCTGTTTGTGGTTACTTGGTGTTATGAAGGAAATGTCCACCCACAATGGAAAGATGCATTAGATGAAAGGGACTGGAAAAGAATTAATTTAGCTAAGAGTTAGTGATTTATTTACTGAAAAAAACCCCATACACAGATAATCACAAACTTCAGCGGTCAACATGAGATAGCATAAGACAAGACAAAGGATCTGTGTAGTATTCCCATCTTTGTCACAACCATCCTGCGTTATCTCGGCAGAGACACTGAGGCTGACAGGATGAGAGATTGGGCAGAACTGAAGTACTACTGTCCAAACCCACATAAGAACAAAAGCTGAGTGAAACAAAGTAAAATGCAAGCAAAACAAAGAATAAAACCAGCAAACCAAATATTTATGTCCCATAAAAATTCAACAAGTGGCATGTTCTTTTGTCATAAGCATTTCTCAAGAGAGCAAATGGAAGCACACAAAGTTCTCACCCAGCTGAGCCCAGTCTAGAATAGTATTGTAATTTCACTTAAATGACATACAGGCTCTACCTTCCTGGAATAATACTCTTTCTACACAGGAATTTAACAACTTGTCTTACACCTGGAGCAAAAGCGAGGTCTCAGAACACTTTGATCTTCTTGATATACTTGAAGAATGGCATCACTTGTACTCCAAAAGGCACTCCCCCACCTCTTGCAACTTCCTTTCAATAATAGGAGGCAAGGGAAGGGAACAAGAAACAAGGATGTTTTCTAGCAGCATCAGCAGACAAAAACAAAAAAACAAAACAAAAAAACCCCAAACAAACAAACAAAAAAAGACTATGGTATTTGTCTGTCAGAGGCATTAAAAAGCACTACAACATATTTGACTAATAACAATTATGTCCCACTACAAACAGTTCATGTTAAATAATTACAATTTGAAATTATCTTCTAAATTTGATGTTTTGTGTGATTGTTCCATTTTTAGTATTATAACACAAATTATTGTGCATTTACTGGGAATGCAATGCATTTTATTGGAATAAAAGGAAGAACACAAGTTTCCTGTACCAATTTATCCTAGAAATAGAGAGCATAGTTTTCTTATATCTCTAGGATATGAGTGCAACAAATGTAGTCTTTATTAATTTTGCTTTTTAAGAAGAATAACAATATTTAAATGATGTAACTTTTTAAAGAACCTGGGAGGTAGTTTTTCCAAGAGGCCCACAAGCTAGTACAGCTTATATTATACATCTGAATAACTGTAGTCATGAGCACAATGATGCTAGATGCTGACAAACCCAACTCAAGCCAGTTGTCATCCTCTAAAAAGCAAAGAACTTCTGCAGCAGAACCACACAGAACAAGAAAACTGTCAGCTTTAATGACTATACACATTAATGCCTCCAGTACGGAAACTACTGCTACAGCAACAGGACATTTCCCTCTAGATTACACAAAATTGTAAGGGATATGGAAGTCATGGTCAGAACTTTCACTATATTTCAAATATTTTTAATTTTTTTTTTAACTCCCTCAGTTTTAAGAGGGGTATGATCTATTTAAAGACATGACAAGAATCATTATTTGGATCTACTGTCTCAAGCCTATCTATGTAACAAAGAAAGGGAAGTGTTCTGCTTTTTTTTTTTTTTTTTTTTTTTTTTTTTAACATTTCTTTTGTAATTCTTGCTTCATAGTAGTAGGTCTAAGAATATTTCAGAACTAAAAAATATGATTAGATTTCAAATAAGCTGCTTCAATGTCTAGTTTTAAAACAAGGACAATGCAAGACAAAACTATGTCTCACTGGAGATTGTATAAGACACTAGAAAACTCAGAAAACAAACAAACCAAATTTAATCTGAGTATGTTGAACAAGAAGGGCAAGTAGGATGTTACAATAAATATGCTGAAACTCTGAAAGTCTCCCTTGATGCTGTTTTTAACCAATTCATCCTTTCCAAGATTTGTTTCTCATGTCCTTTTCACACAAAAACCTATTATCACTGAAATCATTGAGACAATTAGTAAATTAAGCCAGTACTGCCTGTAACTGCCATTTACTCATCAAGATTGAGCAAATTTTGAAGGAAAGAGAATAAGGGGAAGGGATTATTATACTACCTTTCTCTCTATTATCACTAAGATAAACTACAAAGCACAGACTTCTTCAATCTCAACACAATTATTTTTACTTCTGTACTCATCTTGGAGTAGAATGATAATCTTAAACCTTTCTGAATTCATGTGCAGCCACATTTACTCCAGAAATTGGTTCTTGCAATGCTATAACATAGGAAGAAGATTCAAACACACTCAGCTGATGCTGGAAGTTTGCAGTTCATAATGGGTTCACACTTCATCTGTTCCCACTTAATCCTCCTTTAGTAATTGACACCTTCTCCTTTCTTCAGTGTATTCAAACTACTTTACAGTCCACTGGGTCAATTACAAATTCTATCCCAAATCACCAGATTTCCTCTATAATGCTAAACAAAACACTTGCTTTTGAAGACCTCTAACTCCTTCACTATAGACGGGATAGTCCAGGTTATTAATGTGGGTGAAACTCCCTTGATCTTCAGAAAGAAGGCAGGATTAGCAGTACAGGTTTAGTATTTTCACTTTTTGTAGCAGGACAGGCCAAGTATCATATTGTCACATTCAATTATTGCCTACACTGTGTATCTAAAATTGAAGTAACAATCCTGGATTTTAGGATATTCAGGATGTTTACCCCATGTATGACAAATAAAATGAGAGCTGTCAATTCAAAGCAGCAGTGAAAGCTTACTGCCTGAAGTGCGGAAATACAGCTGTATCTTTTAAAATTCTCTCTGATCAAGTTTAGAAGGGAAAGCAAGTGGCTACTTTAAACATTAACCTAAGCAAGCAAAAGGAAGCAACAAAGGGGTACCACTACAAGAAATCTTCAAAGCTTAAAAAAAGCTGCATTTTCTCTAGTGTCTCTGTAGAAACAGTCTAGCCTAAATGAAATATCGCATACAAACTCCATACTTGCCAGCAGATACCAAAGGGAATACCAAGCAAGAATTACAGCCAGCTTTTCAAACCTACATCTTAAACATTTCGTCTTTTGAATTTCCTGTAGTATAGTGATTAATTTGTGACAAATCCACACCCAGTTTTCATTAGCAGAACACCTGTAAAGGTTCAATTCTCTGCACATCAAATGATACGAAATAAAAAGAACATTTTTGAGATGACAGTCACAATGTTGCCACATGGAACCCCCCACAGATAAGTAAACCATTTCACAGTGCTGGACGGCCTAGTATACAAAGACCAGTAACATTGAGAGTTGTCATAAGATGAAAAGTCTGCAAACCTTTCCAAATACAGAGAGGCAAGATGGGGACCAAAACCAATGCAAATGAGGGGCAAGACAAGACAGTAAAAGAAGGAGGGTGCAGGAGATAATACCACAGCCTGATGGGTTTACAACAACAATCAGTCATGCTGACCTAAGTACTTTTATGCTGATATCACTATCAGGCATGTAGGCGCAGCATGAAAAACATTAACAACTATGTTTGCAGTACAACTTCATAATCCCTATTAACATACTACTATTTCCTCTGAATTTGGGAATGACTCACAAATCAAGATCCCTGAGCACTAGATAGAATGCAAGGAAAGGCCAAAATTTTCATATCCTTTACAGTACTGGGTTTCTTGTCATTTTAGTTGCAGAGAGGAGAATTTTATGTTAGTTAGATCCATGAAGACTGTTAGCAGCTCAAGAACACAACTGAAATATCAAGACGTAGATTTATCTTCATACCAGACTCAAAGCTAAACTTGTAACAGTGGGAAAAAAAAAAAGAGCATATGCTAAACCCTTTGCACTTACCTATATATATTCCATGTTGCTACTGGCAAATTAAGGAGAAAGATGAACCAGTGCAATGAAATAAGCATTAATACAGTTACAACAGCATGGCCAATCACCTCGGGGACCACCCACTGTAAAAAACGGAACAAAATGAAAGAGTTAGATGCACAAATGCAAGTTCCTTTCTAAAAGAGAGATCTATATGGATTTATCATCTGATTCTAATCACGTAAAACTCAAGACAGAAAATTCATGGCAAAAGCATGCAATTTCACCACAATGTGGGGAAATCAGTATCTTCAGACAGATTCCATGTAAGTCAGAAATCAGGCCCTAAGATATTATAACAGAGGTACTTTATCCAAGTGTTACAAAAATTTCTAGAGAGAAGCACAGCAGCTGTTTGAACACAACTATATTACACAAGCTCTTAAGAAAGCGAGTTAAGAAAGTATAGAGTGCTCATTTGAAATCCCTGCAGAGAACAGCAGATTTAGGAATGAGAAGCAGATAATTAAAATCTGCACAGACATGGAGCATACAAACACCCTCAGGCTTGGAACAGATAAGAAAGCTGACCAATATGAAAACTGGCATAGTTAAATCGGGTCAGCCCCTGGCAGTAACACATTTTTTCCTTGATAGTATCCTATAGCATTCTCTCTTACATTAAGAAAGAAAATACTTTTAAATCAAAGTGAAAACCCATGTGGGAAGGCCATATCAATTTAATGAAATAGGTTTTGTGCAGATTTTGTTAAAACAGTACTTTTCCTTATCATAGTAACACTACTGTTCAAGACAGGTTAGAAATTATACAGAAGCATCAGAGAAAGTTGCTATAAAGATGTCAGAGTTCAGCCATGAGTAGACTTCCTTGGTGTGGCACACCTACAGGAACAAAAGCACAGAACTCAAGAGCTCTGTGAAACGTTAAGTCTCAGTCCCACAAATTCAGAGTAGCAGCCCATTTCAGAGCACCAAGGGTCAGAAGAACAGCCTTTTGTGACTGAACTTGTTGAAAGATGGGCATCCGAAACAGCTAAGCAGATTGAAATAAAGCATACATGCAAAATATTGCCAATCAAGGCTCTCCAGATATACATTACACCTCTTATATGTGGTGCTAACATGGACTGTTTTCTTAAAGCACATTAAATACAAAGAATAATAATTTACTTTATTGAGTTTTGAGCAGCATGATCTAGCATTAATGTAGTCACATTCCAAATCTGATAGTGTAATTATCTGAAGCCCAAGATCAGGAAAAACACTAAGGTAACTCAGAATACTCAAAGCTTTATTTTTATCCAATAAGTTGGGGAGAGCCCTCTGCTCTCAGCATAAACTGTCTTGTTCTACAGCTGAACTGCCAAAGGTCTATTTCAATTAGTTACAACTCACTCCTACTTTAGGTAGAAAGTTAGGCCACATTTTATCATCAGGCCAAGTAATTTTTATTATGTTTTTCCAACGGCAACTATTGCACAAGTGCTAAAGTTCAATTCAGTGTTTAAAAGAGACCAAGGAGGCAAACTCAATATCAGAATTATTACTGTAATGCTTGAAATGAGAACTTAAAAAGAAGAAAAAGTTAATGAACTTTTTAAACTCCCCTCACAATAAATAGTGCAGTTCTAAGAAGTGAATCTGCTTTTTTAAATATATACTTTGCTTGAAAATGAGAGGGCAACATCATTATCAAATGAACTTTCAGCAATTGAAATATTAAGATTTCTGTCAGAAAAGTCCCCTCAAAAAAGGCTTAGGATGCATGTGTGCACATCATCATGCTATGCTCTGTAAAGCTCATGCTCCTTTTCCCCAAGAGAATGAAAAAGCATGAGATTTTTTCTACCTCTAAAAACTAGGTACAGTATTTTAATTTTTCAACAAATAACCTATCCTTCTAGGATTAATTTCTTTCAAGTGTTTCTGTACTTGTTTCTGTTAGGAGAACTGGGTAGATTCTGAAACAGCACCAGGATTTGAAAGAGTATAAAAGCCAACTCTTTTTATTGAGAAAAATAAGAAAAGAAAGACAAATCAATGCTGTTACATTCTAACAATTGCAGACTGCAAACAAGTTTGCAACAAAGAAAACGGCAACTCTGCCGAGGAACTCTTCACATCTAAATTAGGGTAAGGTACCTTAAAATTAAAAATCATTGTGTGGCTCTAATTTTTTAGGCCTGTGTATTTTCTGAGGGTGTGAAGCATGCTTCAACACCCCTTCCTACAGACCAACGCCAAGTACGTGCTACTTCTGCCGAGGCACGATGTCTTTTCCATAGCACTACCCTACACCCCCCCGAGCTTCAGCACCCGAAGGAGCGAACGTATTTCGAGCACTGAATCACTCGCCGTTTCCCCGCAGCGAGGCACTCTCGCCTCCCCAAACCTCCCCCCTCCACGGCTCCCGATGGGGTGCCGCCAATGGCCATTACCCAGCACAGGCCCAGACGCCCCGCCACCCGGTGGCAACCCACCGCCAGCCCGGTGGCTCCGGACCTGCTCGCTCGCTCGCCCTCCCGCCCTCAGCGGC